CCGTCCCCGCTTGCCTGTCTCCCGTAAACAGGCGGGACTGGGAAACACTGGGACCCGCTCCATGACAGGGCGGTGTGGAGCAAGGAGGTGTGGTGACAGGCACTTATCCACAGGTCTGTATCAGATGCCCAAAGAACACCAGTGACCCTGCGATGACGCCAGGGAAACCCTAGAAGCTAGGTGGCTCATCTGCCTAGGAAATGACCTATTTGGGCTTCTAAAAGGGCAGGAGGCAGGGAGGGTTGTAGGGATCTTCAGGAGCAGCTTAGCAAGGCCCCCTCCACCCCCAACACCCCAGGAGCAGGAAGTCGCCCCTCTTCTGCCCTGTCCACTCACGGTATGCCCAAGCACACACCCGACTGTGGCATGGCCTCCCGCGCAAGGGTAACACGCCAACAGCCAGCCTCCCTGGAAACAGACTGCGCAGAGAGGCGTCTGCCTGGGGCTGGTGGCCTGCAGGACTTCCTCCGCTGTTAGCCACATGTGGACAGCCACAGGGCAGGAAGCATCTCTGAACCGTAGGGTGCCTGGAGGGTCCCCATGCAGGCAGATGGTCCTCGAACCTGGGAACACCTGTCCACCCAGCCACAGAGGGTCAGCTGCAGCCCACGGGCCCAGCTGTCTGGGTAGGCGGCACCCAGGCGCCTCTCTGGCTTCATTGCTTCATATCTGCGAACTGAGTGGGATCTGGGGAGCCTCAGGGTCTGAACGGGACTGGGTCAAGGGCAGCTGTGGAGTCTCCTCGAGCTGTCTTCATCGGGGTTAAGTCTTCAGCTGTCACTGAACAGCCCCAGCTTGTGTGTGTGTCCAACACCCAGCAAACGACCTTGCTTTTTCCTTGGTCGCTGAGAGACAGGATTCCTGGAGCCTCTATGTAGTGGGGAGTGACCTAGAAATCCTGATCCCCCTGCCTCTACCAGATGGCATGCTAGCAAAGTATTTTCTTAGGGCACATCTGGGAATAGTTCCCGGACAAACACTCCTGTTTCCCACCAGGAAATGACCCGAGACGACCGGTCACAAGGCAGTGACAGGGAGGTCCCCTGCATCGCCCTGGCTGGCCTGTGGGTATGTCTGAGGGAGGATGTTGCCTTTCTTCCTGGGTATCTTGAGTACTAGTTACTGGGCCAAGAGAGATCTCAGTGGTTAGCCCACGGCTGCTCTTCCAGAGGACCTGGGTTCGATTTCCAGCACCCACATGGTGACTCAATCATTTGTAACTGCAGTCCCTCCCAGAGGATCAGAGTCCTCAAGTCTGCTTATGGCCACCAACCAGGAACACGGTGCACACACAGACACTCAGACACGTGAAGTAAGTCCATTTAAAACAATAAACAAACGCCGACACAGATCTTCAGGCAAGCTAGGCCAGCAACACAGAGCCCCGAACCCAGTCTGTTTCTGACTTTTCAAGTCTGGGGGGAGGGGGTGGTCTCACTAAGTTGCCCAGGCTGGCCTTGAACTCAAAACCTCCCACCTCATTCTCCCCTGGGAAGAAGCTAAGACTAGTCTTGTGCCACTGGGACCTGCAGGGTTCGGGGTGTGCAAGAACTAGGTGTGGGGTCAGGATCAGGTTCCTGGGGTGGGTGTGGTGCACCGGGGGCCTGGCGCAGTGGTCGGTCGGGGCTCCTGGCCGGTGCAGCTGCGCGGAGGCCTCCGGGCTGGTGGCGCTCGGCTTAAGTCTTGTAGGGCACGCCAGCTGTCTGCGGCAGGCTGGCTGCCGGGGTGCGGGGTGACCTCCTTCTTCGATGGGGGCCGTACCGCCCACATTCCAGCAGGGTGAGGGGCACCCTCCCCGGCTGGGTCCGGGCCGGTTCTGAGGGAGGACCTCTGACCCAGGGCAGAACCCACCCCCCTTCCCGTCCCCTGGACACCCAGAGCAGCAGCTGGCCCCATGGCTGCGGGCGGGGGCGGAGGTTGGAATGTGAGGGGGGGAGGGTGACGGAGGGGGCGGAAGTGGGGGAGGGGAGGGGTGGGACCGCCAGTGAGCGGACGAAAATAGAGGGGCCTGGATGGAGACGGAAATAGAGGAAAGCCAGCGCGGAGGGCCTGGGCCAGGGAACCCGCCGGCCCTGCGCCGGGGCCGGGGCGGCTTCGCGCTCCACCTGGCAGGCTGCGCGGCTCACCTGCCCCGCGTGACACCGGGGAGGCCTAGGTGGCCGTGGGTGGGGCTGGAATCAGACTCCAGGGAAGAGCTCCCCGCCCAGCTGCCGCCAGCGTCGTCTCCTTCCCAAGGCCGGGAAGGAGGGTGGAGCTGTCGAGGGCCCCACGGGGGCGGCGGTGCCCCGCGGGCACCATCTCTGGCCTCCTCCACGGGCTCTGCTCCTCCCAGCTGCCCACGCACAGCCACCTCCAGACCTCTGACATCTCAGAGCTCGCTGCCAGGTCCCCAGATCCCGACTGGAAAGTCGCCACCCCCCCGGGGGAGGGGGACTCCAGCCTCTGGCAGGAAGCCATGACCCCTGGTGACCTCCTTCTGCCCGCACCCGGCGGCCTGGTCATAGAACTCTGCCCGCCTGCGAGGTTACCCCCTTGGCGAGTCTGGCGCGCCACACCATTCCTTGTCGCCAGTCCCTCGTCCGGTCACCCTAGGCCGGCCCGGACGGAGCGTTGTGGTGAGGCGCTGCCTGGGCTGGAGCGCGCACTCGTCGGTCCGGCCCCAGCCTTGGGTGCCGGGGGCGCGCACTCGTCCGTCCGGCCCCAGCCTTGGGTGCCGCGGTGACAGGTGTGCACACGCCACCTCTCCCCCACCCCTTTGCGGAGATCACAAGCCCGGGCCGCAGGTGACGACCTGGAATTCCTGCCCCGGGGGTCCTCCCGACACCCTCCGTCCCTGCCGCCAGCCCTCGCCGCTCCTTCCGGATGACTGGGGTTTTCGGGCAAACCTGTTCTACTGTTCCTGCCTCCACCTCGCCAAGGGCGACTCTAACCCGGGTGCTGGTCAGGCGTCCCGCCCCCATCCGTTCGAGTCTGGACTTGGGGGATCGCCTTCAGGGTCCCCCCAGCTTTGCCTCCTCCTACCCTCCGCCCCCCACCCCTTCCCCGCAGCACACACCCCCTTTCTCCCTTCCAACAACACTCGGCAAACTCCTATTTGTCCCGCAAAGCCCCCTCCTCCAGGTCGCCTCCCCGCTCCCAGAGGCTGGGAACTGCAAGAACACCGGGCGAGGGTCAGTCACCCCGAGAGGGAAGGGGTGCAGCAGGAAATGTCGGCGTGCACAGCGGGGTACACGTGGCGTGCCTGTGCCGGGGGGGGGTCCACGTGCGACGCCCCCAGGGACGCCCCCTCTTCCGTCCAGGCCCAGCCTCAGCCGTCAAGCCTGGGCTGCGTCTCCCGCCCCCAAGTTTGCAGACGCGCGGGGAGCGAGGCGGGGCCGCGTGCGCCTCCGGGCTGGCGCACCCGGCTCCGCGGGGCCCAAGTCCCGCCCCCATGGGGCAACCTCGCGCCATTGGTGCGTCCGGAAGACCGAAGGGCGGGCCGGCCAATGAGACCTCCCGGGGGGCGGGCGGAGCCCGGGCCCGGCCGGGCGCAGGCGGGGGCGGACAGGGAGCCCTCCCCGAGGTGACGTCGGGAGGCTCTCGCGGCGCGTTGCCCCGGCAACCGCGTTTCCATCTCAGCGCGTTTCCGGGGGGCCGCCCCCTCCCATTCAGCTTTTTCCTCAATGGGGTGTTGTGGGGGGGGAGGCGGAAGGAAGCGAAGGGCCGACCCCGCCCCTCTGCGACTTGGGCCGCCCTTGCCGTCTGAGCCTCGGTTTACCTCTCCTTCCCTGCCTCGCGCACGGGGGGCGGGGCGGGGCGGGGGGACCTCCCCGTCGGGGTCACCGCGATCGCCCCCCGCTGCGGCTGCTGTTGGCCCGAGGGCGAGCGGGGTGCGCAAAGCACGGCCCCGGGACGACGCATGGCGCTGGGACGACGCGGGGTTGTCGCCGCCGCCGGGGTCGTGACCTTAGAGTCCCCGGCACTCATCACCGTCCCCAGGGCCCCCTGCGCCCCCTGGCGCCCCCGGCTCGGGGACCTGGCTGGCGGCGCAGGCGCCTCCCTTGCTGCACCCCCAGGCCTGCCCCGCCGCGCCGGGCCCTTCTTCCCACCCTCACCTCGGTCGCGTGGCCTCAGACGTCCCCAACCTTTGAGCCCAGTGACCGTGAACTCCCCAGGGATCGGGCCTGACATCCGCCTTCCTGGCGTGGGCGTGGGACGATTTGGGGTGACGGGGCGGAGGGAGGGGCGGGAAGCCCTCCGGACGCGTCCCGGGCCACCCTGGCGACCGCACCTGCCCCCCTCCTGCCGAGGCCTTGGGGCAGGTTCCCACCCCGGCGGGGGTCCTCAGTTTCCCGGGCGGTACAGTGGGAGTTTTACTAAAAAAGGAAGAGCTCGCTGAAAGAACTCGAGACCGAGTACTGACTGTCTCCGCCCAGCCCCAGAGGGGGACCCCAGAGAAGCCTTGTGGAGTCTTGGGGCGCGCCATGCCAGCTTGCGGGGGGCGGCCCCCCGTGAGAAGTCTCCAGGCGAAACCGGGTCGCCGTGCCCGGATGGGGCAGGCTGGAGTGTGGCCACTGGGGGCAGGTCGGGCAGGGGGGGGCTGGGAAGCCTGAGGTCAGCTCCCCCAGCCCTGGCAGTGCCCGACTCCCCCACCGGAGAGCAGGAGGGGCGGCGGGGAGACGCGGGGAGCGCTTCCCGTTTCTGCGTTACTGCACCCCCTCCGCCCCCGGGCGCTGGGAAGGCCTGTCCGGACACTGACTCCCAAGTTCCCGTCCGCAGCCCACTCCACAGCCAGGAACTGAGGGCGAAAGCCTCGCCCAGGGCATGCCCCAGCCCCACGCCCAATGGCACTTCCGGCCCTGGGTAGCAGGAAGTGGCCAGGCCCTCCCTCCCTCCACCCCAGGCAGCTTCCTGCCAGCCCCAAGCTGGGGAAGGGACTCGGGAAACCATTGGGGGAAAAACAGGGCGCGCTTCACTCCCAGAACAAGGCGCCGGGAACAAGGAGCAAGTGACGTCGACGCTCACGTCTCATGTGTTTATTTGAAATTAGGTGCTCGCGTAAGGTTTCTCCCCCTCCCCTCGAATTTCATTTCAATAAAAGGAGACTTGGGCGAGGAGGGTCCCCCACAGCCGGGCTCTCTCCCCAAGGGTGGCTAATGCTATCTGGGGAAAGTCCGTCCGCAGGAGGGAACTATGGGTGGGCTACCTGAGGCATCCAACCTCAGCCCAGGGGACACATCACAGGCAGTTAAAAAAAAATCATAAAAAACCCAAAAAAACACACACATTTAAATAGGTATCCAAGACAGCTTAAAAAAATGCACCCACTTACCCCCCCTCCCTTTTCTTTTTGGAAAAAAGATTGAAAAAAAAAAAAACCAAAAACCAAATTCTTGGCCTCTACCCTCAGGGATCAGTCCCCTCCCCACCCACCCACCACAAAAAAACTTTACAGCTACAGCCAACACTTGTTCACATCCCAAACCATTAAGGGTAAACACTGGGGTGGGGCGGGGGGGGGGGGGCAGACGCCTGGGGTTCACAGACTAACGAAGGACTTCGGACAGGTGGAGCCCAGACAGGTGACAGCCTTGGGGGTGGGCACATCCCATTAGCACGAAATTTAAACATCTGGAGAAAAATCACACCCACGAGATTCACCCTTGTTGACGAGGCCCCGGTGTGGGGGGGGGGCTGTCACCCATGGATCAGTGAGGCCAACGTGGACCAGCAGCTTGCCCTCCCCAGGGCGGGGTTAATGATGCAGTCACAGCTCAGCACCCCACTCCCCACCCTGGCTGCAGGTGTGGTCGCACCTCAAGTTGGGCTTGGGGAGAAGAGGTACAGGGGTCTCTCTGGGCCCCTCCTAACATCTACCTCAGTCCCCCCACCCCCCCCAGACTATCAACCCCTACTGGCTCAGTCAGAAAAGTGAAATCTATAAATAGTCCCCAAGCTCCATCGGGAAGGAAGGTTAGGGAAATCAGTGGGTGTGTGCAGGGAGGGAGGGAGGGCGGTGTCCACAGAAGGTGGCCAGAGGCCTGTCCTTTCCTGTGAGGAAGAGGAGCATCTCCACCCAACCAACCCCCAGCCTCAGCATTCTCCACCTAACTAGCTTTTTGTGGCAAGAGCAGGGCCAGCCAGGCAGTGGCAAAGGCCTGTCGTCATAGCACTTGAGAGGCTGAGGCAGGAGGAAGGCATTGTGGACAAAGGTATCCCCTGTGAGCCTCATCTATTAGCTTCTCGGGGCGGGAGGGTGGGGGATCCAGCTGGCCTCCTGGAATGGAGGCCAAGTCTGCAGATGAGGGTGGGGGTGGTGGATGCTCATCTCGGGGTCCCCAGCCCTCATCTGTAAAGTGCTTCTTGGAGAGTCTACATTTTGAGTTAAAAACCTGAATCGGGTTATGGAAGGGGGGGGGGGTAGGGGAGAGCTAGGCAGAACGGAAGGGCTGGGGGTGGGTGGCTTCCTCCGTCTGGGCCATCTGGGAACAGACTGCTACATATTTGGAGCTGGAGAAGGTGGGAGGCAAGGGCCCTGGTGCAGAGGCCACCAGAACCGACCACAGTGAGGGAGGAAAGAGATGGGCATGTGACCAGGGATGCAGGGCAGACAATCGGGGAAGAGCTAAAAAAGAATCAAAGGCTGGTGAGTGGCGATGGAGGTGACCTCCTGCCCCCCAGAGCTGGGCTACTCAGCGTCCAGGCTGTGGCGCCCCACCCGCCCACGTCTGGAGTGGGGATGTGACAGACCCAAGGGGCTGGATCCTTTAAGCCATCACGAACTCGGACTGGATGTCCGGGTTGACTTCCGGCTTCCAGACGGAGTCCTCGAAGTCGAGACCCAAGCCTCCAGCCTCACTGGGGCTAGCTCCTCCGGCACTGCTGCTGCTGTCGCTGCGGCCGGCTTTGCGGCTGGGGGTCCAGTGGTAGGGACCCCGGGCGTCCCGCCGGGCCTTCCTTCGCAGGCGCTTCTGCTGCAGCAGGAGCTGGAGACGTTCCACTTTACAGCGTGTGGCGCGGTTCTCTGTCTGTCGCAGACGGTCTCCTGCAAAGGCAGACAGGCACCCGTGAGTGCGGAGGCTGGAGCACCGATCATGGTCGGCGAGGATCTCGAAAGGCGCAAAGAAGCCCAGGCTCACTCCTTCCTCTACAGTTACGGGAACATGCTGGGGGGGGAGGCAGGGCTGCGGGCTGAGAAGGGACCGCACAGGGGTTTGGCCAACGAAAAGGGCAGAGAGACCGTCCGTCAGTCACTTAGGAAATGCAGGCAGTAAGCTGGGCTTGGTGGCGCACGCCTTTAATCCCAGCATGGCAGAGGCAGGAGGATCGAGACTAGCCTGGTCTACACATGCTAAATTCCAGGACAGCCAGGGCTACATGGTAGACCCTGTCTCAAAAACAAAAAACAAAAAACAAAACAAAACAAAACACAAAAACAAAAAACAAAAAACTCAACCAAAAAAAACAAAAAACACAAAAACACCTAGGCATTTGACCAATGCATGGTTGGGCACACTGGCAGCCTTACAAAAAACCAAAAACACAAGAAGAAAAAAAAAAAACAACAAAAACTGTAAGAGCCTGTTTCAGAACAAGTGGTAAAAAAAAAAAGCTTCTGCCTCAGTTTCCCACTTTTGTGAACATGGCTGTGGAAGCAGGTGATCTAGGTAAGGCAGTGGTCACCACCATCCCACAGCTGGGTGGGGGTGGGCACATCTGGCTGCATCTGGAGGGCTAGAACTGACTCAGCCATTCATGAAAGTACCAAAGGCCATCTGGAGAGGCGTCCAGGGGGGGCAGAAGGAAGCTGAGCCGCAGCCCCCCTGGAGCTCACAAGGGCACTCTGTGAAGTTACAGTCGCCTCCTTTTCTCCCGGCTGGGGGGCAGGTCTGGGGGGGGACAGCAGCTGCCAGCTCCGGGGGGTCCCCTCACCCCCCGGCACACAGAGGCGGCCTTGAGAAACTGCAGGATGGGTGGTGACCACCACTCACCAGGAGGCTTGCACACTCGGATCTGGCTCTGGCCCTGGAGCAGGGAGGTGGGGGATGTGGCTGCCAGCTTCTCACAGGAGGTAGTTTTGGGGGTGAGGTCGGGGGCTGGTGAGGCAGGTGAGCACTGGGCGTGGCAGCGGAGCTGGGTCAGCGAGGGTGGCATGCCCTGGTAATGCCGTGTGGCACTTAGGAGGTCATTGAGTATCTGCAGAATGGTGCCAATGTCCCGCCGCGGCCGCCCACTACTGTCCTGGCAGTTGGGGTGCAGTGTGCCTGCAAGTGGAAAGGATCGTGAGCCCCAAGGTTCGTCCACGTGGTCGTAGTGTGGCCGCGAGACAAGGCAGACCGGGCAGTTTGCAGACTGGGTACTCTGTGGTGCCCAGGCCTGGGGGCGTACCATCGGTTACCCCAGCTACGCAGGAGGCTGAGGCCTGAACTCTAAGCCAGCCTGGGGGAGCTCAGGAAGACCCCATTGCCGAATAAAAAAAGCAGAGTAGACTTGGGCAAGACTCGGGGGGCAGAGCCTCTGCAGAGAATGCCCCACTGAGGGGGGGTTGGGGGTGTGGCTCGGCGGCAGTGGCCTGGGCGCTATCTCCAATGTCACAGTAAGCACAGGTTAACTACGGATGACGTGCCCTATGTGTCTGGGGTCACACGGGTGCGTGCCCCAGATTCCCGGGGAAGACGTTTACTGAGCACAGCCAGTTCGTGAGACCTCAAGATCACCCGTGTGAGGGGGGTGATACCTACCAGAGAAGGTCCCTGAGAAGACCCCGGGAGCGTGATTCACGAAGCTCTCAATGACGGCACCGGGTTTGCGGGAGCGCGGGGTGGGGCTGCCGCCACCGCCGCCGCCTGGGGTGGACGTGGACGTGGCGTTGCTGCTGGCTGGCGGGGAACAGTCCATCTGCTGTTGGGAGATTGGCAAACGGGCACGGTTGTGAGGGGTCCAGTCCTCAGCCCAGGTTTCCATAACCCCGAGGGCAGCGTCAGGGTCCGCCCATCGGTCCGGTGTTCCAGATGTAACGCACCGGGGCTCAGGCAAGAGCGTTTGATACAAAGCCCACAGCTGGAGCCCTCAAAATCCTCCCCTGGGTCCAAAGATCAAGTATTTCCCTCCTCACCTCAGGACAGGTCGTGGAGGCTGCATGGGATCTGAAGGAGCCAGCGGTGACGGGTGAGGGAGACACAGGTGAAGGGCTGCTGGATACCGGGGGGACGCGGGCGGCACTGGACACCGGCCTACAGGGCGAGGACACTGGGGTGGTGACACTGGCATCTCCCTGGGCGGCGGCGGCTGCGGCGGCAGCGGCGAGCACGTGGCGGTGCTGGAGCGGGGTGTGTTGGGCGGCCAGTTGCAACTGTACAAACATCATGTGATCCCCAACTCGCAGGGCCAGAGTCAAGGGTGATCGGCCCGACAAGAAGTCACTGACCTAGAGAGAGAGGCAGGAAGGCCCGTCAGTCCAGGGGGTTCTCGCCCCTGATGCCCCCAGCCCAACCCAGCCCAGCTCTCCCCGCCGTGTGTGACCTGGGGCCTCTCGCCGCCCCTCTCTGGGCTCTGGGGTCCCTGTCGGTGCCACGGACGCTTAAATAAAATCAATCTGTATTTCCGGAAGCCTCCTCCGGCAGCCCGGCCTGGCCCGGGTGTCGCTGGGGGCTGTGGGGGCGACAGAGGGGGGTCAGATTGGGGCCTCTGGGTCCTTTCAAGGGGAAACTGAGACCAGATAGGGCGGGGCCCGGTGGATGGTGGCTGCCCTCCCTCTCCCCAGACCCCAGGCTCTGCCTGCCTACGAATCCAGCAGAGAGCATCCTTGTCAAGGTTCCCTTTCTCAGCTAAGCCTCCCAAGAGGCCGGCTGGATCCTGAAGGAACTCCTCGGGGTTGGCCTTCGCTTTCCCAAGATAAATATTTATATGTCCCGGGCTGGGGGGGGGGGCCTGGAGGCGCGTCCCCAAGGGCCTCCACAGCCCTGGTAAGCACAACTCTGTGACCTGCCAGCCCTCCCCTCCCCCGACACTGTGGGGGCTGGCCTCTGGGCCTACCTGACCCCCGGATGCACTGGGCACCTCCTCTCCCACCTCTGGGGCCCAGGCCGTGAGCCTCGCTCTCCCCAGGGTGTGTGTGGGGGGAGGTTTCTGAGAAGTGACATGGCCCTATGACTCACACCAGACCGCCTCGCTCACTCCCTTCCCCGGGCACAGCGGGCTGGAGTAACCTTCTCCGCTCGGGGCCCGTGGGGAGGACACGCAGGGGTGAGGAGGCAGGAAGGCAGCCCCCACCCTGCACCCCTCCTTCCTACACCCTTCATAGGTAAGGGCCTGCCTGAAGCGGCTTCCTGGGCAGCTGGGCTCACCCCCTCCTCCCGTGGGGAGGGCAAAGGGAGGCCGGGAGAGAAATCCACTCCGGTGACCTCAGGGCTCCACCCAGCACCCACTACTGACTCCCTCCAGCCAGGCACGCCCCCCACGGGCTGGAGCCCAGGCCTGCTCACACCCGGCCCCCACCTCTGGCTCCCAGGAACTCCTTGTTCTCCCAGGGGCAGGACCACCCAGCTGTGGAGCCCTGTGCCCTCACCCCAGGAGGCAGGATGCTGCATGTCTGTAACCCACGGGGCCAGGGCCCCGGACGCCCAGGGTGCCTGCAGCCTGGTCCAGGCGGGGGAGGCCCAGGGGTCCTGCCTACCCCCCTCACCAGGGCTCCCCGGGACACTACAGACCCCCGCTGCACTGTAGCTAAGGGCTGTGACTGGGGGGGGGGGCCTGCTGTGGCCACGGAAGGAGGGAAGAAAGCCTCGTCAAAACCGGGAACCTCCTCACGCCAGGCCCAGCCTCCGCCTGGCTGCTTACTAAATATTTTCTTAACATCCTGTCTAGGCCTCCCGGGCCCAGGGCTGGGTGCCCCTGCCTGCCCCTCCCCCTGCTGGGGCAGAGAACAAAGGCCAGAGATGGGGGGAGGGGGAGAGAGTATGACCCCCCCACCCCTCCTCATCGGCCGCATTGAGCTTTGCACCCCGCTTCCTCAAAGGCGCAGACGAGTTTTGTCTTTTGGGGGGGTGGGGTGGCCTACAGGGGCAGCGCGCTGGGCCGTGGAGGGCACGAGTTTCGGCGAAGCCCAGGCCAAGGTCACCCAGTCAGGGCCGGTGGCAAGCCCGGCCCTTCCCCCCACCCCATGGCAGCCACCGTGGGAGAGAAAACTTCTCAAGGTCAGGTGGTCAGGTGCTGGGGGAGGCAGGGAGGAAGAGGAAGCGGGGTGACCAGGCCAAGCTGGCACCGAGGCGGGGCCTGCACCCCTCCCCCACGGGCCACCAGGGAAGCACAAACAATCAGAGGCTCTCCGAGGGTGTCCCCGAGAGCTGCCCGGTCCCTGGGCGTGGCCACTGCCTGCAGCCCCCCTGGGTTGGGGGGGCGGGTCGTGGGTGCTTACCTGGGTCTCGGTCAAACTTTCCAGGGCTTGCATAACAGACTGCTCGGGCCTCGAGGCCTGGGACTACAAAGAGAGGGACGGAGAGCGCCTTCAGTGTGGGCTGAGCCCGGGGTGGGGGGCCTGCGTGTCAGGGGCGGGCGGGCGGGCGAGCCGCGAGGGGCAGGATGGCCGGGAGGTGGCAGCCGCCCCGGGGGCGCCCCTCACATTTACCATGAGGCCGGCTTCCACCGTGGGCACGAGCGTCAACTTGCTCCCATCCCCCACGCCGAACTCCTGCAGCTTCCCCGAACTGAGCCGGCTGGGGGTAGGAAGGAAGAGGGTGAGACGGGAGACGACACCAGAGACGCGGAAGCGGAGGCCGCGGAGGAGGGCTGTGCGTGCGCAAGGAGGGGGGCGGCGGGGAGCGCTCCCCCCCTCCCCTGCCCAGACCCGGGCGCCGTGGGGAGGCTTCCCGGTCCTGGGAGCCCCCCACCCCCCCGGCCAGGTGACTTAACTCCAGGTTAAAGCACTTCCCCGTCCGCAGGGGACGGGCGCCTTTCCCATCACCTGAACCCCCGTGGGCGCCGTGCCACCCTCCCCCGCGTCCCCCTCCGGGCCAGCTCCTGCCTACAACTCCCCGATTCCTGCCCCAGCTCGTCTTTGTGGGCGCCGCGGGGCTCCGGCCCTTTTAGAAAGAGGCCTTCGGGGGGCTCCGCCGCCCCGGGCTCCCCTCCTCCCTCCCCGGCGCAGGCCGCCGCGCAAACAAAGGAGACCCTCCCCCTCCGCCCCTCCCCCACCGGGGCCCCTCCGCTGGGGATGGACACTGCGTGTCCCCAGAGGCCCGCGAGGGGACGAGGGGAGGGGAGGCTCCCTGGCCTGGAGGCGATTTAAATACCGGGCTGGGGGGGGGAGGTGTGGGGAAGCGAGAACAAAGGGGGGCAGAGAGACGTAAGTGATGGGGAGACAGCCAGACGCAGAGGGGGCCGCCGAGCAGATGCGGAAGCGGCGAGACCGCGGGCACAAGAGGGGGCGGCTGCGCTCCCCCCCCCCCGGCGCGCGGAGCCCGGACCCCTCCCCGTGCCATCCCGGGGGCCCACGTCTGCCGCGCCACCCCCGTAGTTCCCGTGCATCCCGGGGCCCCGCAGGGCGCCCCTGCCTTTGTGCAGACCCTGGCGGGGGAGGGGGCCCAGGCAAGGGAGGCCGAGCAGAGGGCGCCCGAGAGCGCGCGGCGCGCCCCCGCCCCCCGTCTGGCTGCCCCTGGCCTCCCCGCGCGGCGCGCTCTTTGTTCCCGCCCGGGGCCCGGGCCCGAGGGGGCGGCCTGGTGCCAGGGGGCGCGCAGGCGGGGGCGGCGCGCTACCTACGTGTCTTTGTGCAGCAGGGCCAGGCGCTCCTTGGGCACTTTGAGGCGCTGGGACAGCCTTTTGCGCAGCCCTTCCACGGTCTCGTCGTGGGGCACGGACAGGTCGTAGCGAGTCCCCGTGGTGCTGTGGATCGCCAGGGTCATGGGTGCGGCCGACTCCGTGGCCGTGCTCAGCTCGCAGGCGCCGCCGGGGGCCCCGCGCCGGCAGCTCCGGGCGCCGCCGGGCTGCGGCTCCATCCCCGGCGAGCGCAGGAGGCCTGGGGTCCGCGGGTCGCCTCCAATCCTCGCCGGGACTCCCCCGCCGAAACGAGGTCCTCCTCCGCGCCGCGGGCGCTCAGGGACAGGGCGCCCCTTGGGGAAGGTCCCCACGCTAGCAAGCGAGAATCCGAGTGGTGCTCCGGGGTCGCGTGGGATCCCTGGGTTGCGCCCCGGGGTGGGGTCTGCGATCCGGCTGCTTCAAGGGCGGAGGACGGCGACCTGGGCACGGCGCGGGGAGGGTCCTACGGAAGCGGGGCGAGCTTTCCCGGTCCGCACGGTGCCTGGATTCCTCTCGGGTCGTGCTACCCCGCGCGTCTCTTCCCTTAGCAACAGCCGCAGCCGCCGCTCGCAGGATCTGGGGGTGAAAGTACGAAGAAAAAAAAGTTATCATGTATCAACGTTCCGATGGGCGGGACCACCGCCCCCTCCCATTCACTACTTACTCCGCCGGCCCGGCCGCGGCCAATAAACACACACAGACCGCCCAGTCCGCCGCGATCCCGGGCCAATGGGAGTCGCCGCAGGGCCACCCCACGTGGCAGCGAGGCCCGCCCCCCCGTCCCCGCCCCGTCCCCTCTGCGCCCAATGGAGACACGTAGGGGGTTGGGCTGGTGCGGCTCCTGACCCGCCCCCGCGCCCCCCACCCGCGCCCAGAGCCATTCATAAGGCCCAGAGATCCCAACAAAGGGCGGGCGGGCGGACCCCGGCTCGAGGATTTAGCACCTTCCCCCCGCCACTACCCTCCGCGCGAGCACAGCCCCTCCCCTGCTCCAGGGGGAGCGTCGGGGAAGAGGCGAGGGCCGGCCATTGTTCCCGACTCAGGGAGGAACAGGAAATCGTGGGGCCTCCCCGCTGGGCCTGTCCGGGAAGCAGCTGCCTGCGGAAGCGGCAGCCTCGGCCCGCAGCCTCGTGGCCAAGGGTCGCGGGCCGGACTGGGACGGAGCGGCCCCCCGCCCCCGTGGGTGGGTGGGTGGGTGGATGCAAGGGCACTGGGGAGCCTGGGCGGGACGCACGGCCTGGGCGGGGACCTGCGGCTCGGTGACGTGGCTCCCACCGGACCCGTCCCTGCTGAACCTGTGCCACTGCGCGTCCCGGCCTAACCCATCGTCCCCGGTTTTTCCTGCGCCCCCCCCCACCCCGGGTCGGCCCGTTTCCCGAGGTGCGCCCGCCCAAGCCGTGACGTGACGCGGCGTCCCCGGCTGCGCCCGCGCGCGCCCCGCTCCGGGCAGCGGTGAGTCAGCAGCCCCGGCGCGCCCTCTGCAGTCCCCGCCCGGGAGCGCTGCCCGAGCCCCGGGGGAGGGGGTGCCGTGCGTCGTGGCTGGGGAGCGGGCGCAGAGACTTGGGGGTCTGCAGGTGGGGGGCCCCGCTGAGAATCTTTAGATTGGACATGCGGAGAAGACTTAGGACCGCACACACAGGGAAACTGAGTCTGGATCCACAACTAGTTCAAGGTCACTGGCTGGAAAGGGGGAGCTGGGGGGGGCGTGGGCTGCGGTCCCGCCAGGGCGGTGCCCATTGCGCACGGTCCCTCCCACCCCACGAGCTGGGGGGCTCCCTGTCCCAAGGCGCCCTGAGTGTGGACGGTTCAGAGAACAAAGAGTGGGGCGCCTGAGGAACCCACACGGGTGGAGACCCCTCTGCGCCGCGCGCGGCCCCGCCCCTACTCACCCGGCGCCGCAGGTCCTGGGTCACCACTGCTCCAGATGACCTGCGCGCAGGTCGTGGTGAGAGGTGGCCGTGCCGGTCTGGGGACAGCCGGGCGGCCCCTGAGCCTTTATCCGCGCCGCCTTCCCTGGGGTGGAGTTTGGGCGGGCAAGGGGCGGGGGGGGGGCGGGCGATGGTGACGCATCTGCCCCCCCTGACTGCTGGCCTGGGGCCGGGACACCCGGCCCTAGAGCTTCACAGCACCCACAGGGCAGTGCCTCGCCGGTGCTGCCAGCTGGGATAACTCCTGGCCTCCCAAGTTCTGGGGTACACCTCAGGTTGGCCTGGGGGGGCTGGTCAGCTTCCCTGCCCCGCCCCCTTCCCTGCTGGCCTGGTGCTTCCGCCTGGGGGCGCCCGCGTGGGGCAGGGGGGCGGGACGGGAAGGGGTTCCTGAGTCAGCAGCCTGGGTCCAGGAACACAGGGCAGTGTCACCTGCCAGGCAGTGGGGTGTCCTGGACAGCTGCCTGGTGGCCTGTCCTCCGCATCCTTTAACGGTGACCTCAGAGGCCATTTCTGTGACGATCCAGCCACCCCTGGCTTGCCCAGGCCAGTCACCTGTGTGACCTCCATGAGTGGCCCAGTCCCTGACGCACCCTGTGCCGTGGCGTGGCGCACGCCTGTGGAGGTCAGGGTTTAACCTCAGGGAGTTCCTTCTCCCTCCTGCAGGAGTCCGGGATCGGCTCGGCTCCCAGGCCTTGGCGGCACGTGCCCAGGCAGCCAGGTGCCAAAAGGGGAGCCTCCTGGGGGCGTTCTGCACCCCCTCACCTCAGGAACGCGTGAGGACTCCGGCCCCGCCTTTGGAGTGGACATTCAGCACCCCGTGGACCCGGAAAACAGCTTTGGCCAAAGAGCAGACTGTGGATGGAGTGGCCGGGCAGGGGCTCCCGAGGTGATTCTGAGCGGGGCTGGACCTGCCCTGCCCCTCCTGTCCACTTATCCTGTCCACTTATCGGCCCTGCCCTTTATCTGGGCCCAGCACTTCCACCTCCCTCCCCCTGGGCGCCCGTCCCAGGCCAGGTCCCTCCGAGGACAGCTTCCTGCTCTGTCACTGCGGACAGGCATGCTGGGCCCCAAGCAGGGAGGTGTGCCCCAACACTCCCTGTCCCCCGGGTCACGCACAGGCCAGGGAACACTTGGAGGCCCGGGGACTCTGAGGGATGAACATGAGCTAGTTCAGGACAGGGGTAGGGTGTGGAGGTCAGAGGTAGGGCTGGCCTCAGGATCACAGGAAGAATGTGCTGTGGCTGGTGACAGGTGAGATGGGCTGGCTGACAGGACGGGCTGAAGCCAGCGTAATAAATGAAGGGCGACCAGACTTCCTGCTTCCTGGTGCTTATTCTGTGTGGTCCTTTATCCCTAGGTGTGAAGGCCCAAGGTTCTGTCAGGCCCTCCCCTCCCGGAAGGCCCCATCCCACCCGCTGGCTGTCCCAGGGCAGCCAGCACAGGCTGTCCTGTCCTGAGGCCCTGAGGCCCGGCTCCAAAGCTCACACCTCCTCCTAGAGCGGGGAGGGAGGGTCTGAGGGATTCATGTGCAGGTCTCCTGCACACATCTGCCCAGCCTGTGTCTTTGGTCCTAATTGACAGGGCCCCTGGGGGCCTGGCCAGTTAGGATCTGGGCTCTCAGCCTGCGGACAGGGGGCGGGGCCTAGGCAGGCCCTGCATGATGACCTCAGTGACCTCGGGCCCACACCTGAGCTGGGCTAGGTGGGGACCTACGTGACCCTCGGGTGACTGGCCTGGAAACACCCCCAGGCGGCTAGTATGCGGAGAACAGCACACTCATCTCCAGATGGGGCTCTGTGGCCACCGGGCGTCACCCACGCAGGGCCAGCCCGGGTGCCCAGGCCCAGGCTGTGCTCAGGCCCTAGCTGGCCGCCTGGTCACCGTCAAGGTGACTCCTGATGGCAGGCTCTGACCCTGCTCACCCTCCTTGGGCCCCCCGAAGAGGAGGCAGGTCAGACTGCACCTGGCCACCCCAGGGTGGGGGCGTAGAAGGCGTACCGTGGGGCCAGGCCACTCCCTCCCAGGCCACCCCACCCCACCTGGGGCCAGCGGGGGCCTAGATGCCTAAGGAGGTGCCAACCGCACCGTGCAGGGGCTGGGAAGGCAGCCAGGCAGGCCGGGGCCACCCACAGGTGGGGTGTGCCCAGGGCGGGGCCTCCGTGGGAGCAGGTGGTGCCTGCCTCTTCCCAGAGCCTGTGGGGTGGGGAGGGCCTCAGAGGGAGGGCCTGGCTGGGGTCGGGGTGCTGAGCCAGCCAGCAGCTGTGGCCACACCCACCCCCGCCCCGCCCTCGCCCATCCCGCCCACCCCGGCAGCAGCTAACGCGTACCCCACCCACCCACTGTTGCCCCTGGGGGGCAGGACACAGGCGCCCAGGCAGGGGTGGGGGCCTGGCTTTGTGCTGTGCAGTCAGAAACAGAACACTGGTTGGTTCCCGGTGTTTAATGGCGGCAGGCGGGGCAGGGTGGCTGTGCAGGTGGCCCGGAGGGGAGTTGCGCCCGCTCTCCGGGGGCGCCTGGGATCCCAGGCTGCGGGCGGCTGGGGAAAGACCTAGGCAGGCACAGGACACTCAGTCAGCAGCTGGAGCGCTGCTGCCCTCTGGTGGCAACGTCAGCAGCAGCCAAGGGCAGTTTTCATCTGCCCGGAGCTGCCTCAGTTTCCCTGTGGGCCACAGACATGCACCGCCTACTCCAGGGCCTTCACCAGGGCTTCATTGGCCTCGATGCGGATCTGGATCTCGGCCCGTGCCGCCTCGTCCGCCGCCCCGGACAGTTCCGACTGCGCCTTCTCCAGGTTGGCCCGGGCTGTCTGCAGAGGGGTGGGCCATGGTGAGGGCCAGGCAGGCCGGGCAGAACCGCCACACGCCTGCAGGCTGCCTCCTTACAGGCCGGGGCCTCTCGGGCAGCACCTGCCCCCGCCCTGAGCCTCAGTTTCCCCATGTGCTCACCGCCAGGTCCAGCATGTCCAGTGTGACAGCTTCCTCGGCCAGTACCTGCACGGAGGAGTCGGCGTTCACGGTGACGGAGCCGCTGCTCACTGTGAGGAGACAAGGCCTGAGCAGACCCTCCCCAGGAGTCATCCCAGCCCCTGGGCGGCACCCGGGTGTGGAGCGGCTGGGCTGAGGCTCCCTGGGCAGTGCGCTTGCCCAGGGTGCACAAGGCCCTGGGTTCGATCCTCAGCCCAGCACTGGGAGGTGGAGGGGAGGGGCAGGGATTCAAAGTCAGCCTGGGCTACAGGAGACCCTGCTGAAAAACACGAGACAGAAGAGAAGGAAGCACCCCCTGTGTGCAGAAGGACGCGAGCTCATGGGGGAGCCAGGGGTGGCCAAGCAGGCGCCCATGAGCCATAATGCGGGAGAGCAGAGGCAGGACAGCGCCTGGGCCTCTCCGGGCAGAAGGGAAGCTCCGGATTTAGTCCTCTCTGGAGGAACCAAGACACAGAGCTGACTAAGGACACCAACGTCCTTCACAAGTGAACACACCATGTAAAGTAAAACGGACTGGGGGCGTGGTCAGCGTGGAGCCCCGCCCAGAATCCCCAGTGAGGGGCTGGGGGCGTGGTCGGGGTGGAGCCCCGCCCAGAATCCCCAGTGAGGGCTGGGGGCGTGGTCAGGGTGGAGCCCCGCCCAGAATCCCCAGTGAGGGGCTGGGGGCGTGGTCAGGGTGCAGCCCCGCCCAGAATCCCCAGTGAGGGGCTGGGGGCGTGGTCAGGGTGGAGCTCCGCCCAGGACCCCGGTGAGGGGCGTGGTCAGGCGCAGCCCCGCCCAGCACCCCGGTGAGGCTGTACTAACTACTGAGGCCGGAGAGACAAGAAGCCGCCACCACGGAGTCCACCCTGGGTCCGGTCCTTCAGCCCGGCTCCTCCCACCCCAACGCCGAGGAGCCCAGTTCCTTCTCGGGCTGGGGTGAGGTCGGCTGCCGGCGCCCCTCCGCGCCCCGGGTGCCTGCACCTCGGTCTGGGTGAGCTGCGCGGGCCCCCGTGCGCCCCGGGCCGCACTCACCGAAGTACTTGGTTGTGGTGCCGTCCTCGGCGTGGACCACCACCAGCCCGGGCCGCAGGACCTGCAGCGTGGGCACGTGGGAGGCCAGGATGCCGAAGGCCCCGGTCAGCGTGGGCACATCCACCTGCCGGACGTTGGCGCCGTCAAAGAACACCTGCAAGACGCACCGAGGGGCTGGGCTGGAGCCGGCGCCGCGGGGACGGGGCCTGCCCGCCGCACCGTGGGCACCGCGGGCACCGGGGGGGCGGCACGCGGACGGCGCAGGTGCCACCCAGGGCCGGCGTCGCCTGTGAAACCGGACGCCCGTTTCTAAGGAGCGTGGAGAGGATGGGGCCGGAACGGGGCAGTGCGGAGGAGGTGGCAATCGCCGGGGACCTGGGGATGGGTTTCCAGGAAACCGCAAGGCTGTCCTCCCACCCACTCGGGAAGTTGCCATGGGGGGAACGCGTGAGGGCGGCCGAGCGAGTCCAAGCGCACGACGGCAAAACCCCGGCTGGGGTCTGCACGGTGCACGCTCCGGGCTCGGGTGACCCCTTCGGGCCCAGGGCCTGGGCCGGTCCCAGGCCACCCCAGCAGGCCCAGCTTCTGTCCTGAGTGCGGACGACCTTCCCGGCAGGGTCTGGGCCTGGCCGGGCACCAGGTCTGGGTACCGGTGACTGCGGTGGGCAGGGGCTGGGGAAGGGGGCCCGCGGCGTGGGTCACTCCCAGGGTTCGGGTAGCCTCGGGTGAGGCCTGGGGGTGCACGCGGGCCCCGGGGACCCGGCCAAGGTGTGGGCATGGGTGCAGGGGTCCCGCCTGGCGTCGCCAGGGTCCCGGTGCAAGCCTCGGGGGTGGGGCGTGAGGTTTCAGTGAACTCGGGGTGCAGGGGGCCTCGTCACGGCGCGGGGTCTGGGGAAGGGGTGCGTGCGGCACCCCACCGGGCCAGGTCCCCCGGGGGCGGCACCCCACCGGGCCAGGTCCCCCGGGGGCGGCACCCCACCCGGGCCAGGTCCCGCGGGG